TCACTGCTATGAATTTCCCTCATAAGACTGCTTTCATTGTGTCCCATAGATTCCGATATGTTGTATTGTCATTGTCATTTAATTGAAGGAGCATGTTCCATTTTTACTAAAATCACTGCAAACACCACAGTTTCCGATATCTATGATTTTAGAAAACAAAGTTTTTCAGTGACTAGGAAAGCAGTAGTCACTGAGAGGAGGTTATTATGATATATACAGCTGCAGTATGTCCTTAGGAGACACCCCATCCTGTTAGCTTTGCAGCTGGCTTTATCTGTGCCTATTATTCTAGCCTGATGACTAGCCAAGCAGATTTTCACCTTTTCAGTTTGAGCTAATTTTTACTTTTTTATGGGAAATCTTAAATGTCAAACACTATTTGAAATGGTTTGCATATATTATTTCATTTAATCTTTGCAACAATCCTTTGAAGCAAGTCCTAGCTTCCTATTTTACAGATGACACTGGGGCTTGGAGATGCTGGAGTGGTTTGTCAAAGGCCACAACTCTGGTATGTGGTAGAGCTGTTCTGAATCTGGGTCGGTCTAACTCTAAACCTGGTCTTCTTAGCAGCTACACCTACAGCCAATGTTGAAATTAAATGCTATTCAAAGTAAAATGGATAAATCCAGAGCTGGTTATATGTTGGGAAGTGGAAGTTTCATTTATTAAGTAGCATCATAGATTGGAACAATTTTTATGGCAGTCAGTTTGGCAAGTATGTAGTAAAAAAATGCATCCTTTGAGCTAGCAATTAATCTAGGAATTTAGGAAGATAATTTCCAAACTACATGGAGGCAAATAATTATAGCATTATGTATACAAATAAACACACAAAAACCAGAAACAAAGTGAACATTTTTGGTAAGATGCTGGTTAAATAAATGGAGATACGCAATGTAAGAGCATTCACCTAGCACCAATGAAAATACATTGTATAGTAAAATATACCAGACTGTCAATGAACATTTATAATGTGATTTTATTTTTATGTAAAATTGAACACATGTACTTTATTTACTTATTTATTTAGGTTTTTTGAGCAAGGTCATGCTATGTAGCTCAGGCTGGCCTAAATTTGCTAAACCCAGGCTGCTCTTAAGACATCCTCCTGGCTCTGCATCACATGTGCTGGGATTATAGACCTGCAGCACTGTGCCCGTCTGTAAACTGGATTTATATAGGCAAATATACACATGTATATTTGTGGTATGTAGAAAGGTGTTCTGTATATTTTTCTCTGGCTCAGTAGTTTTTTCTTTGCTCTTTTAGACTTTATTGTTTAAATATTTTGAATCTATATCATTGTTTGATAAATAAATATTACTTGAAAAAGAGTTAAATTTAAATGCCTTCTTTCCTCAGTAGTTGGAGTGTTTTCATGTACACTAGCCATATGTTCCATAGATCTGGAAATCTATAAGGCTTTGGAAAAACTTCAATAGTTATAGATATTGATCACAGAACTAGTGTGTTTTTACCCCACCAAGGTCTTATTATTATTAATGCCTGAGGTCAAAAGTGCATGAACTATTATCAGATCTATCTGGACTATAAAATTTAAATGTCTTACATTTTCATTTTACAAAATCTCTTCACTTTCATTTAATTGGGGTCAGTCTTACTTGGGTGGCACTGTACTTTGGTAGTAACGCTTTCACTTACAGGGGTAAAGTAAGTGGAATTCAGAGAGGGTGCAGAAAGTAAACCTAACTAATGAATCTTTTGCTGTGTGTAGGGCGGGGTTAGCTGGAGTTAAGGAAGTGGGCTGGGTTATTAAAAGCAGATGGAGGCAGACAGAAGTTGAATATGACCAGAGCAAAGACAACCACGTCGGAGAGATAAGAAGGTGATATAACTGCTTTGGTAAGTGATTATGACATGTAAAGGAAGAAAAAAGTCAAAGGATTTATTTAAGGAGTAGCACCCCAGAAAAGGAATTCTTTTTTTAACATTCATGGGTAGCTAAGGTAATAAAAATAATACTTAAGTTTCATTCATCATTCAACAAAATCTCAGCACTGTGTGTGTCTTGATGTTTAATGTTAATTAAGACACTGGGCTGCAGTGGGGTTACCGGAAGAAAGGCACAGAAGCTATTAACAGTTGAAGCCATGGAAACAGTCAACCTAAGCGAAAGGGTAGGAAGGAAAAAAAATGGCTCTGGAAAAAGGAAATCCAAGAAAAGTGTTAGTGGAAGTTCAGAAAACAGGCAGAGAGACAGGAGGAGAATGATGCAGTAGACAGAGGAGAGGAAAGTTTCAAAAAGGAGGAGCAAGTAGCATCAAGTGCTATGGAAAGCCCACCTAGGAAGATGAAGTGTTCACAGGATGTGGCAGTCACCAGTTGCCCAGTCCAAGAGTACCGTACAGAGTGAGGCTTTGTAGGCACCAGAGGGAAGCAGGCACTGCAGAAGGAGATCCAACTGGTGAATGCCTGCCTTACAGACTTGAGGGTGTTTCCAGCTTTACTGGGCATGGGGATTGTGCAGGAGGCTGGAGGTGAATGTTAAAGCTGGTGAGGGTAGGAATTAATGAAATGTACCCAGGGCCCAGAGCAGGGTTTTTGACAATAATCAGTTGAATGAATATGGAGATGAATGAATATACAAATGAACATGGGGTGTGGACTAGAGGTTGTTTTATGAGCATGACCAGGACAGGAAGAAGATGAAAATAGAGCATATATGGGAGTGAAGAATAGCAGGATGGAGTTATCTGCTTGTGGAAGATGTCGCCTGCTGTCTCAGAAAGGTGCCGGAAAGCTTGGTGTTTTCCAGGCAGTCAGGTTTCAGTTAGGAGAAGGGTGTAAAGGGCTTGGAGGAGAGCCCAGTGTGGTGCCACACCACTGTAATCCCAGCACTTTGGGAGGCTGAAGCAGGAGAATCCAAATTTGACACAGCCTGGGTAATTTAGTAGAGACCTTGGCCAAAAAAAAAAAAAGGGTGCCTGGGGAAACAGCTCAGAGCTAAGGCCCTGGGTTCAACCCCCATTATGGGGATAGGTTGGGGGTGGGAATAGCAGAAAAAGTTGGGCGACAGCAGCAGTAGGGTAGGATTGAGATAGGCGAAGACAGTTCAATGGGGATAAGAATGCAGAAAAGGAAACAGCACGGTGTCGCATGCCTGTAATTCCTGCAACTCAGGAGGCTGAGGCAAGAGGATAGCAAATTGGGGGCCAGCGCGGGCAATTTAGCAAGATCCTGTTTAAAAGATGGGGGCGGGGGGCTGGATGCCGCTCAGCTCTCCCTGACTCAGTACCCAGCGGTGCGGGGTGGAGTAGGTGGGCCCCAGATCCGTGTTGGGATGAGGGCTGTATCCCCGGTAAAGCCATCGCCACGGGGTGGAAGCGGTCAGGCCGCTGCTGGAGTCCTCTAGTGACAAGAAACTACTTTTGGAAGTAGCACTTCCATTACAGAATAAGAAAAGGAGGTAGAAGAGAAGATGTGGGACCCCTTGAGGGGAAAGACCTGTGAATGACAGACGCCTTACGGGGAACGCGCGGAACTGCAGAGCCAGACGCGTCAGTCAGACCCTCTCACGTGTACAACGAAGGCAGGTGAATTTCGCCTCCCTCGTCTAATAGCCTGTGAAATCAGCTAGACAACCACCTCCCAATTTCACAGAATAAAAGACGAGGCCCGCGGGACGTGTCTCGCCCAAAGTAATAGGCGAGTGGGGAAACAGGCTCCTGCAGACCGCTCAGGGCACAGGGTCTCCGGCCGCTCCCAACTCCCGCGAAGAGGAGGAGAGGCCGAGGCACCCCGGGGTGCGAGGCCCTTCCTGGCCGGGCGGAGGACCGTCCCGAGGCGAGGGCCCCGAGGGAAGAGTTCCGAGTTCCAGCCTCCTTTCCCACACTTCCTCAGGGCGCGGGCCGGGGCGGGCCTGCGGCCGGCAGAGGGCGCGGGGTGGCGCCGGGCGGACACGGGCAGCGCCGTCGGAGCTCGGCGGCACCGAGTCGCCTGCCGGGTCGGCCCAGCAGGCCGGGGCGGGGAGGGGGCGGGGCCGCGAGCGGGGGGGGGGCGGTGGCGGCGGCGGCCGAGGAGGAGGAGAACATGGCGGCCGCGGAGAGCGGCTGAAATGCCTGTTCTTCAGGCCGGTCGAGCGGGAGACTGACGCGATTCGCCGAGCCCTGTCCTCCGACGGCTGGACCGCGGCCTCGAGCACCTGGGCTGCCTGCTCGCTGCTGTCCCCTCGGGCGGAGCCCGCGGCGGGGTCGTTCTGCATCCCCCTGCCGGGGGACCCCTGCTCGGGAGGAGGGGGCCGGAGAGCCCCGGCGGCGCCGCCTGGGCCCCGGGGGCCGGGCTCCGGGCCCGAGCAGCGGCGGAGGCCGCGGCCGCTCCGCCACGGTCGCAGGCGAGCGTGGCGCCCAGGAGCGCGGCCCTGAGGCGGCGGCAGCAGGTGAGTGGCGGCGGCGGCGGGCGCGGAGCCTCGCGGTGGGTGCAGCTGTCACGAGCCGCGCGGCGCCGAGGCCCTAGGGGGCGGGGAGCAGCTGGCGCCCTCCGCCCCTGCGCTGCTTTCTCCGGGGCCGTCGCCCCCTCCCACTTTCCCCGAGTTCCATTCCCGGCCTGGCGCGGCTGGAGGGGCCGGGGGTCGCAGCTGTCATGGGCCCCAGCTGGGGGTTGCTCCCGGCGCGGACCTGCGGCAGAGCGCCTTCCCCGCGCCGCTCTCCCGCTGCCCTAGTTAGCCGAGGGCGAGCATCCGCGGAGGGCGCGCGAGGCTGCGCTGCTGCGGCCGAGCTGGGGAGCGGGCGCCCCGGGCCGCCACCGAGAGGGGGAGCCGGAAGTCGGCGCGGGCGCCCCTCGGGCCCGACGAGCGCCGTGACCTTGGCCAGCCGGCCGGCCTCCCGGAGTCGGGTCCGCCGGGACCGCGAGATGGGGGCGACCGCGGCGTGCCTTCCCGCGGGCGCAGCCTCCGAGGGCGCCTCTCTCTAGCCCCGCGCACCCGGCTTCCCCTCGCTTGGACCGGGGCCTCCGGAGGTAGAAATGGGAGGATGAAGCAGATTTTTCCTGTTGCGGCTGGGGTTCGGTCCCTTTTCAGGGGTTCTGCCGAAAAGACTTAGGAAGGGAAGCAAATGTGCCGTCTGGGCGATTGGGAGGTGGGTTGGGTTAGTGGTCAGTGACAGAACTTGAGCTCTCTCCCGTCTCGGAAGCGGCGTGGAAAAACCGGACACCAGGGTCCCTAGTTCTTACTACACAGCTGCAGTGTTTGGCTGTTGTTGTTTTTTTTCTTTCTTCCCCCTCCAGGCAGTCACCCCCTGGGCCGGACACTGCCCAATGTGACGATGTTAGAGGGAGATTTAGCGATTGACAATACAGCTTGTGTGTGTGTGTGTGTGTGTGTGTGTGTGTGTGTGTGTGTGTGTGTGTGACAAGGACAGGCCCTGGTGCTGTGGCCACAGAGTTTGGTGGGGAGGAAAACTTCAAGCTGGGGGATTTAGTAGCCTTTCCTGCTTTGGCTCTCCTCGTTCATTGTAGAGGCGTTTAAAAGACAGGTGTCCTTGTGGAGAAGGTGACATTTTTTTTCTTTTAAGATGGTGCATTTTTAATGTCGAGTATGATGTTGGTGAGTGAAGGGCTCTTGAGTGAATTGCAGTCCCAGCACCCTCTGTGGATGCCAAGAGGAATCTCTTTGGCAATGACTTGTAAGGCATGATGCTTACACTTCAGTGATGAAGAAATCTTCACGTATCTGTGTAAGACATTGTTGCCCTGAAGCTTAGATTGTATTGTACAGTTGCAGGGGTGGATTTCAGGGGTTAAATTTGTTTGAGGTTTGTCTCCTGTTCTGGAATTGGTTGGAGGTTAGTCGAAAAGAAAAGAGAAAAGTTGGCCAAAGGGGCCTCTCAGTTTCACAGAAGCTGTGATGTAGTAGGAAGGGGGTCGAGTTTCTTCATGTTGGGAATAATGGGAAAAGAAAGTATTTGCACATTTGCTTGGGTCTTTTGGCTCTTGAACTAGAAATATTTTTGGGTTAAAGGTAGCTGTGGGGTTTGATTCAACTTAATAAGTAGGCATTCCTTGAGCAATTTGTCAAAACTAGACAAAGTGGAAATATTTCTGTTTTTATCTCATGTACTTTGTGGAAAGGTCTAAATTGGTTTTGTGAACTAATGTCTGCAGCATTTTCTCTCCATTTCTTATTCGGACTTTATACTTCAGGAACAGAGGATCCAAAAAGGGGCTGAGTAGGATATGTATAGCTTGAAGAGAAAATAGAGGAATCTGGTTACAAGAACAGGTACTGTATTTGATTTTTGTAGACATTTTGCACCACTCATGTATTACACTTTAACCCACACTGAACTCTATAAGGTGCAAAACTTGAATTTTATGTAGTTTATATTTAAGCTCTTATGTCTGAGAAAATCTGCAGGATTGTGTCTATTAAATTGCTCATTTGGTGTGGTTTAAGCCAAGGGAATGTTTTAGACTGCATTTTTGGGTAAGTGGTATTATTGAAAAAAAGCCCTTGATGGAACTAATGGTAAATGTTCTACTTAAATTAGGATTACATAGACAATGCATTTGCCTCCATTTCTGCCAACATTTATTTTTCATCCTCCCTCATTCCAGGGTTTCATTTCTAGAAAACTTGGGCTGGAAACAGAAGCAGCAGTTTGTATAATCTCAAGAACTTGCTTTTGCCAGGAAGCTATATGGGTAACATGAAGTGGGTGTGCTACTACGAAAGACACTTAACTGTTAAGGGAGTCTAGGGGCAAACTTTATTTTTCCAGAATTTCCTGTTTTCTTTGTGTGTGTTAATCCTTGGGTGGGCAGAGGATCAGGTTACTATGGTGCTGAATGGTGTATATTGTGAAAATGTTGGCAAAATTTCGTGCTTTTACTCTATAGGGCAAGGTGATAAACGAGTCTGAATGATTTAAAGATGTTGTTCCCAGGATAGAGTGTTCTCTGCAGGTCCTCTTGACTCTGCTAGTTCCGTGATCGGTCCTCCCTAGGAAATGTTGAGTGAGTGGTGAGGGTCCTGTAGAGGTGCTTCCAGGTGGAGTGGGGACAGAGTATTAGACATCCTTGAAAATCCTTTTTTGTATTGGACTTTATACCAGACTGTGATTTCTAATTGTTTTTCAAGGACATTTTAGCTCTCCTTACTCAGTTGTCATCAATTTCATGTACCTTCTCTTAGAGAGATACTACTTCTGTTCCTTCTGTTCCTTTGTCTTTTTTGCTGTAACTCCCAAGGACCTTGCACTGTTTGAATATTGTGTTGCATATTGTGTGGAATTGGTTGGCCGTAAGCCATGTGGCCCAACAACTTTTATTAGGGCAGGTATAGGAGGTCAGTACAGGTACACAATACTGAGCAGAGTCCCCTAAGTCAGAGAGCATGGGAGACTCCCATTATGTTCATTATTATCTTGGCAGTGATTTTGCCTTCTAAATATGATCATCACAGGATTCTCAGAGGGCCTCCCACTGCTTTCCTGGCAGAAGTCCAGAAACCCTGTGCTGGGTGCCTTTCTGTGTTACTGCAAATACTGGTTGCTGAGGTGGGTGAGGGTTGGATGAATACTTGTGTTTCAGAGTTGAATGAAAGATCCCTGTGTCCAATCTGGACTGCAGAACCGTACAGATTTCTGTCATTTTGTATAACTTTCCTACCCGTTGGACAGATTAGTTAGACTAACATTTTCTTTGCTTCTTCCCTACATTAACCAGTAGCTTACTTTTTATTGGCCACTGAGGATAGGCCTCATGGTCTCAGATCTTTTTCTTACCATTAGAGGTGAGGTCTGGGCATTTCCCTTCTCCCTTCATAATTTGGGTAGACTGTGTCTTTCTTTTACAATATGATGTTAGACGTAATAAAATAGCCAAGTGGCAACTGGGTACCGTTCGTTGTTCCTTAATTTAAGGATATGCAGATTTTTTTCTGTAGCCTAATTCTGGAAAATGGTTTGTGAGTGTAGAAGTGATTTTTATATTTCTGCTGGATACATAGCTGAACAGGGAGAGTATTATAAAACACTGACACCACCCTGTAAGTCCAGTTCCATAAATGCAAGTAAGGTGAATTGTTGTACCTGTTTCCTCCCTGGTAACCCATCCACAGCACAGTATTTTTGGGACTCTTGAAAGTGATAAGCTTTTTAAAAAGCTTAGTATAATTATCAGATTTAAAAGATAAGTAGTTTAAACTAAAATAGAAATATAGTCCCTCCAGCAGTTACGGAAGACTTAAAATTAATCAGTCTAGTCATCCTTATTTTAGGTAATATTTTGTTTTAATCTCTCTCCTGCCTGGGTTATGTTTCAGGATGGAAGGTAGTGATGTTTGCTTTTACTAAGTGCCCCTGAGCCATTAGGAACAAAAAACCCAAACTGATAAAAACAAGTGCAGGCACACCTACTGAGATGAAATCCCATCAATAGGATCAGAATTCTAACACTGGATTATCCAATTTTTTCGGATTTATACTTCAGTTTTGCTCTTTTGGTTTATAATTTTGAGGGAAATTTGAAGTTTTTATTTTTGTTAAACTTTTTTTAATTTTTATTTTTTTATGAGTTCATGTTGGTAGTACATAATGATGACATTCCTTGTGGGGAGTTGGTACATGTTCATAACATATGTTAATTCTTTTTTTCATCCCCTTTCCCCCTCCCTTTCCCCCTCCCTTTCCCCCTCCCTTTCCCTTTTCTCCTCCTGCCTCCATTTCTTGATCCTCTGTGCTTTTCTTTTTCTTTTTTGTTGTTACCAAGGATCGAACTTGGGACCTTGTGCTTGTGAAGCAGGCATTGGAACCACTGAGCTAAACCCCTGGCCCTCCTCTGTGCTTTTCTAAAAGATCTATCTTCCTAGTCCCTGTTACCTATTTCTATTTTGCTTTTTATTTATATTTTGGGTTTCTTATGTATGAGAAACTATGTGATATTTAAAGTTTAGTGTCTGATTTATTTTACTTAGTATTATGGTCTCAGGTTGCATCTATTTTCCTACAAATGACTCAAATTTATTCTTCTTTATGGCTTAAGCTTCTTTTAGAAAGGAGGCTTCAAACCAGGTGTGGTGGCACACCCCTGTACTCCCAGAATTCTGGAGGCTGAGCTAAGAGAATCGCAGAGTTGGAGGCCAGCTTGGGCAAGACCTTGTCTCAAAACAAAACAAAACAAAACAAATTAGTTAATAAATGAATATTTAACTAGCTAATCCATCATCAAATTCTCTGATTCTTTGTAATTTTTTGAATTTTCCACTTTTCTGTTCTACAGTCTGGTCTTCTTGTCATTTTGAACATGGATTGATGATAGTCACCTTGACTCTGAGGTCCTGAGTTTCTTTATTATTAAATGAGCACATTGATCTGATTTCACTTTTCTTTCTATGCAAAAATTCTGTGATTTGTAGGTTTATAGCTGTTTGCATACATTTGC